CGCGTTCGCTAATCCAACAAAATTCCGCTAATCTAACAACCCCGAAACCGCAACCGCACTCGCGAATCTAATAAAATCGAACGCTCCGCGTTTCCGGCCGGACAACGCACTAGTGGACCGATCGGGCGCCGTCGCTTTATATTCCGCGATTTGTCTTCCGCGAGAACGAATCTGCGACCTACGCGAAATTCTAGATGCAGCAGGACCTCGATTATTCGCATACTTCGATGTCAGAATCATCGGTTGTTGTCAAATGCTTTTCACGTGCGATCAACCGTGTCGAAGGCGACCGATATTCGAAACGATTTGCTGTACAGGGTGCACGAGGAAATTATATGCAAAATTACATTAGAAAATTACATTAATTATACGACTGCAATATTCTACAGCTTTGTATCGGCGGAGATTTATTTAAAAAAAATTCCCGTAATATTCACCTCGAGAATCTTCTTGTGGCTGTATTGTATTGTATTCTGTCCGTCGCGAGAATAAAAAGCCTCGAAGGAACGATAGATTAAAAGTTAATCGTTCACAGAAAATGATCCGATGGTTTTTGAACGCATTTTTTTATACAGATCTCATATTTTAATATAATCAAGTATGGAATAAATAACTTGCGATTGATGAAACAACAAAAAATTAACGTTTAGCTAGGAAAATATGTTATTATTCAGTCGGGAACGGTTTTAATGTTTTGTTGCTTCATTAATAGGACGTTATTTATTTTATACTCCATTGAAAAATATAAAAATACTGTGCCGTATTTCGTCTAATCCTTTTTGGATACAATAGATTAAAAGTTAAGCGTTCACAAAAAATGATCCGATGATTTTTTAACACATTTTTTTATACAGACCTCATATTTTAATATAATCAAGTATGGAATAAATAACTTGCGATTGATGAAACAACAAAAAATTAACGTTTAGCTAGGAAAATATGTTATTATTCAGTCGGGAACGGTTTTAATGTTTTGTTGCTTCATTAATAGAACGTTATTTATTTTATACTCCATTGAAAAATATAAAAATACTATGCCGTATTTCGTCTAATCCTTTTTGTTGCGAATACCTGAAGTTCGCGGTCTAGCCGGCGATAAAATAAAGGGATAACAACTGCGTGAATGAAATTTTGATGTTTCTGATATATATACAATAGATTAAAAGTTAAGCGTTCACAGAAAATGATCCGATGATTTTTGAACGCATTTTTTTATACAGATCTCATATTTTAATATAATCAAGTATGGAATAAATAACTTGCGATTGATGAAACAACAAAAAATTAACGTTTAGCTAGGAAAATATGTTATTATTCAGTCGGGAACGGTTTTAATGTTTTGTTGCTTCATTAATAGAACGTTATTTATTTTATACTCCATTGAAAAATATAAAAATACTATGCCGTATTTCGTCTAATCCTTTTTGTTGCGAATACCTGAAGTTCGCGGTCTAGCCGGCGATAAAATAAAGGGATAACAACTGCGTGAATGAAATTTTGATGTTTCTGATATTTTTATATGCAGGCCACCCTGTTCGCTGGACTGGCAGCGAAACACAGAAGCCGTTCGCCGGGGCTTCGATTATACTAATCACGGGGCCAAGTTCTCCTTGCAAGGTTCGATTCGACCTATAAGCACCGTTTCATTATTTCTTAATGTGCCCTAAGTGCGGCCATTTTGCGTCTTGAATAAAACGTGAACGCCACGCGCGCGAACGGAAGGGGGTATATTAAAGAAACCGGACAGGGGGTTGTGGAACCGGTTGAAGGCGCAGAGAAGAGAAAAAAGAAGAGAAGGGTGAAAATAAATTCAACTGCGTCCCGGAGAGTGTGTACGTAAAGTGCATTCTCGTCAAGAATTCTGACCTTGTTATTTACGAGTTGGCGAGGTCTGGGA